AGGATATAGAAGTTACTGATTAGTGGCAGAGCTGTAAGAAAATCCAGCTCTTTGGATTCTGTTTTCTTCTATACCTGGGGTTACCATGTAGTATGAACAAAGAATCAAATACAACCACGTTATCACAGGCAAGGAAACTCAGACCAGAATATATGCCCGTGTTTATCTTAATTATGAAATATTTCTTCTTAAAACCACAACTGAAGCTCACCTAAGCTAACACCAGTAAAACCTGAAAATAAAATTCATTGCTATTCAAATAGCACTACATTAAACAGCTGGATAAATTTGAATGTTATAACATGGTTAGACTAATTGCTTCCTGATTATGCTTCCAATATTGGAGTGATGCTACCTTCTAATTTCAGTGACAGCTAAATTCCCAAATAAACTACAGATGTTTAAAGAGCTCATAAAATATAACATGTATTATTCCTATGCCCAAATCAGTGGATTAGTAAATCACTGCATAATACAAGTTTAAGTTACATCTTACACTGGCTTTTTTAGAGATTTCAGATTGTTTACTGAAACGATGACCACAAAGTACAAGGAATGGGGTTTGTATTGTTACCTTTGCCCAACTATGCCGAAATGTCGTCTTGTTCAATCTAGGTTTTTTATTTTCTTAGCCCTTTAAGCTCCTAGGAATTTTAGATGTCGAAAACATTCCCTGTGCACGGGATTCGGTATTATATGGTTCATTAGGATCTGTTGTGGCTGGCCTTGGACATTTTCTATTAACTAGTGAGTACACGTTTTATTTTTGTGTGTTAACATTTTTTTCTAGATGGAGCAATTATAATTATGATAGTTACCATTATTTGACAGGTAGAATTAGAAGATCATGTGATGTTGGAGTAGGAGGGTTTATTTTGGTGACTTTAGGATGCTGGTATGTATACTAATTATTCAGGTAAACCCCATGATTATAATACGTTTATCTAATTCCAAAGCACAAGGTCTTTTCAGAACAGTCTCTTATTGGTGCATTTCCACCCCCAGTGAATATTGATTTTTATCATTTTTTTTTATTAAAAAACACAGGATATCTTAATGTAAATACATATTTTTTTTTCCTATCATTTATGGAATGTTTGAACAGATGAGTGGATAGCATGTTCATTTGAAAGGGTTAACCTTTTACCTTACCCTAATGCTTATTCACTCTTGCAGTCTCTCACATGCCACACCTGAAAACACTACTTTCTAAAAGAATGCTTTCAGAACTGATACAACAACATAGATGAGTCAATTTTCTTGAGCAAAATAAGCCAGATCCAAAGAGCACATACTATGTGATTCCAGGTTAAAAACTAAGCCAAGGTGATTAAGAATTTAGTGGCTACTTGGGGGGGTGGTGTAGGGAGGAGAGAGTGACTAAAAAGGATCAGAAGGAAACCTTCTGGAGTGAAGGATGTAGTCCCTATCTTGATTTTATATCTCAGTTACATATGTGTTCACAGGTATCAAAACTCACACTGAATTACACACTTAAAATCCTCATTTTACATAAAATGGGATCATAGGTATTATGGTATCAAACCACCCAAATACAGCACTCTAAACTAGAATGTTTGTATTTTCAGTCTCAGGATAGTCGTGTATATGCATTCTGAAATTTTAACTATAAGAAGCAATTAAATTCCATACATTGATTTCTATGGGAATTTTCTATCTGTAATTTATTCATATTCTTTTCTTAAAGGCTCCATTGTAGGTATAATTATGCAAAGCTAAGAATCCAGGAAAGAATCGCCAGAGAAGGAATTAAGAATAAGATTTTGTATGAAAGCACCCACCTTGATCCTCAAAGAAAACAGACAGACCGCAACAGCAGCAACTGAGCAGTCTTGGGCAGAGCAAACCAAAATACAACTCACTGAAATCAGCATGCACAAAGCTGCGATCAACTACACAAAACGTTTTATGTACAATAAGAAAGCTTTTCGATCAAGTAAATAAAGCACGTGTAAGTTGTCTTTTTATACACACGTAACAGGGATAAACTTGCAAACTAACTCTTGCCCTGTGTCTACTGCCAGTCTATCATTCGTCTGTGCTACATATAGTGGACTTTGCACAATCTTATTCCTACACCCTTTTCAGAATGAGCAAACACTCCCCTGCATTTCTAAAATCGGTGCTATTTTAACACTTAAAATGAATGGATTTTATGACTTAGATCTCCCTTACCAAGGCAACAGAGTAAGTTTTATTTTCATTTTTGGTTTTAATGTCAATATTACTTTCCAAGATTAAGAACAAGCTAGATGCCTTCCTGAAAAGTTAATAAAATCTAAATATTAAAAAAACAAAAGACACCAGTCGGCAAGATTATGGCCTTTATTATTGGTCCTATTACTTTGAAATATCAAGGTGAACCAAAGTAATGGAACAGGGAAGAGATTAAAGGAAACGTGGGGCTGGTTCCAGTTCAGTGCATAAGAGGGGTGGCATTTCCCCTCCCACACCCTCCTCTTGTGGCTGTCATTTGGAGGGTTAGGGGGTATAACGCTGCGTGCGATTTACAAAATGCTATGACTACTAAGAAATGACACTGTGAAACACGGATGTTCTAAGAGATAAAATCGTGATTGATTTTAACAGTCACCGAAGGAGGGGCTTGGACATTAATTAGGAAAAGTATTAGAAAGGAAAAATGGGCAAAATCATCTGCCCTAACTGGTACAAACCAAAGTTCAGTGAGGTCTACCGTATTCAAATTGATCACTGCCCAAATATATTAAAAATTCCTTATACAACACTCATCCCTGTTTTAAGAGGCAGCATTGCAGGGGCAGGAAAAATCAGTGAGTACTAATAATCTGCTATTTAACAAGCTGTGTGGGCAGGCCACTTATTCTCTTAGCTTCAGTTTAGTAACATTCACCATGTAAAATCGGGCAGCTGGCTTTTAAGGACCCTTCTAGCTCTAGCATGTGATGATCATATCTTACCCTGAATGAAAGAAACCTCTTAGCTGGTAAAATTTCCAAGGCCTTCACCAACAAGTTTAGTTCAGTTTCCCAGCAGAATGACTGTATAAACCGGAGACCTAAATAAAAATAAAGTTTGAACGTTTAATTGCTTCAATTACTTTTAAAATATAAGTTTACATTATCATTAATACTTCAGATTTTCTAACAATTATAAAGCCTTTAAATTGGTCTTCATGCTTCCACCTCCAGTCTCTTCAATGTATCTCCCCTCGGCCAGCCAAGTTCAAGTCCTAACTTTGTGAAGTTTTGCCAGGCTTATCTCTGAAGAACACCTCTGGCCACCATGACTTTTACACCTTAACCCATGCCTCTGCTAAAAATTTTTCATCACTCCATTTGGAATGCCCTTTCTACCTTCTCTCTCCAAGCTTTCCGTTCTCTTGGTCACTAACCTCTGGGTTAATCGCCCTCCCATTTAAGATGCTCATACCACTTTGTGTGTTCTACGTGTTGGCACTTTTTACTGGCTACTGACATCTTTTACAAGTAGAGCCCAAGTTTCTTGTGGCAGGGACCTTGTCCACATTTTTACCTTTGCATTCCCAACCAAGTGTCTGAGACTAAGTGTTTAACTGAATTATTAAATGTTCTTTAATGAGCTGACAAAGTCTAAGTTTCCCTGTAATCCAAATTTTTTACTTTTCAAATCTAAAGCTGAAAGAATAACCTACCTTCCTTGCTCACTTGGGAGCCTCCAGCTGCACTTCCTTCACTGTTCCATTAATTCCGAAATTTCACACTAGGTGATATAGCAGTAGGTACCAGCTAAATAGCTGATTAAAATAGAATTGTGGTCGTTAGTAGTTTTAAAAACTCTTGATTTATCTATCATATCTACTTTATGTTCAATTCTTTCTAGTGCTTTATACATTCCCCCCCCTTACCCCTCCCCCTTTCTTGGTTTCCTGACTACTTGCTTTTAAATCTCAGTAAAAAGGACCTCAGGGAATTTAAAATTAACTAGAATCTTTTTCTCTGGACTTGTGATTTATATTGACTGAATTTGGCAACAAGAAATTGTGACTATCCCTGGTACCATTATTTGATTTGCAAGCATCTCTTTAGTCTACGTACCTCCACTCCATCGCTGGTTTCCCTTTGCTTCGATTACATAATGCGAGGAGGTCTATATAATATAGTCAGGATTCCTGTTTATGCACTTTTCAGCAAAGAGCTAGGGATCAAATAGGGTTTGAATCCTTCTATTCCTAGATAAAAATCTGTAACGGGGGGGAAGGGGTCAAGATACCCCTTTAAAAGTCATGTTAGGAACACTATTCTTTGGGTAAGCAGAAGATCTTAACAAGGAAAGTAGAATTAAAACGATCACTACGTTTTCTGATTTCTAATTGTCCTCTGGAATAAAAAAGCTCTTGGAAGCATCTTAAAATATAGTCCAGTGGTCATCAGTTACGTATAATATACCAATATTATCCTACCACCCAAATACTGTTATTTTAGACAGCTTATTTTGTACATGAGTTTCATTTTTAAAAGTTTAGACTTCTTTTAAAAGGGAATTAAAGCGGTTGAGGACAAAATTTTCTTATCGTAAAGTATTTTTCAAAGTATTACACTTTAAAGTTTGCAATGTGAGCACTGCAGATAAATGTTGTGTTGCAAATGTTTAAGCTTTTCAACCACTGCATTCTCCTTACTCTCCAATTTTCTAAAATAAGGATATTTTCCCTCCTCAAGTATTATCTTGAGAAGGCTACCACTGACTACAATAGGCAAATACTAATTCAAAGAGGTTTCTATTGTTCATTTTCAAGTTTAGGTCAACTTAACAGTCTTTTCCACCTTTTTCCTAGGAATTTAAGTAGTGCCCTTAAGTCCTAGATGCTATAAACCCACTTAAGCATATGCCCTACCCTGGGTATCACAGTAAACAATCACTGTATATACTTGTTTCTTAAAGGATGCAGTTTCCATAATCTTTTTTCATCTATACATGGATATATCCTTTTCTGTGGTTTTTTTCCTCAAATGAACAGAAATGGTTATAATTTACTCTGAAACCACAACAGTTATCTGCTACTTAAAGCCATTATATTCAACAAAAAATACAGCCATATTTTGTTAAACAGGCCGATAGCTACATTTGCCATCCGTACAGCAACCAAATCCTCATTTCACCAGAATATAATATTCTGTAGAAGTAGTAGAAAAATTAGAAACTTCAAGGTTCTCATCAAGTCTTTAAATAATTTCAGGGTAACAGGAAATTATATGCTCTGGCCTGGCACAATTAGAGTTCACAAGCCTTCCCATTTCCTCAGTCCTTGGGGCAAATATTACAAACTGTGAGCAACCAGTAGTTCTGCTTCTTGGAAGGTATTATCCCTTGGGCTTTAATTCCACTTTACCATCTCAAAAACTTTGTTGACTTAGTTTGAAATATGAATTCCCATCACTTCTCTATCCAAAAGGACCTTAATCTATTTTCCAAATTTCCGTAAGCTAATTAAAAATAGTATGTTTAGTATAGATGCAGAAAATTTTGGGAAACCAAGGACAAAAAGACATCCTAGACTCACTTCTCCGTTTTCCCCATCTTTTAAAAATAAAGGGAATTCTAATTAACATGATTCTAGAAGCCTAATAAAACTATTAAGTGTACAAGCAGCAATTAATTTAGAATACCTATTGGAATCACTGGAACACATTTAGTTGGGCCCTTTTACTCTTCCACACAGCACATTCACATGGACAGACTAAGGAAAAGGAGATGAAATTTAAATCAGCACATTTTTTGCTTTATTACTTTTCAAAAAATTTAGTACGCTGGAACCACCTTTTATTCTCGTACTTGACCATGACTCTCCTCCCATCTCCCTTAACTACAAATGCTGTAAGGGTACCTTTTTTAATAGTTAACCTTAAAAAGCTATTCTGTTGGCTGCCACTCAAGTAAGCCCAATCATTCTTCAGGAATATGAATTCTACCTCATATTCTCTATACTTTAATACTTTCGGATTTTTTGGCTGATACTAATTTGTGACAATGCTTGCCAAGTATTTTTTTTTTAGACAAAATTACTGTTTTTACTTTCTGTAAGATCATGTAATGGCACAGTTAAAAGGTGTTTATCAGTTAGATGCTACATTAGCTTGCCCACCTGTAATCCCTGCATAACCTCAAAAAGTATTCATTGGTATGGTACTGGCAGCATCCAGAGAACTGAACCTTTAAGGCATTTCTCTATTTGCCTACACTGTTATTGCACTACTTTAAACTACAGTATAGCTTATCCTTCCCAGATCCAACTTTGTTTAAAAACTAAACCCTGTCAAGATGCACTATGGGCTGAATCCTAGCATGAAAAGGGAAATGAAGTATTCCTACCTAAGCAAATAAAATTCGGTAACTACAAATTAAACACATGGTTAAATTCCTTGTGTCCTAGCCTATCAGTAACATTTGTTTCATCAACACTGCATTCACAACCTGAAAGCAATAATTATGTGTATACCAAAAAATTATCATACAAGATTCGGCTTCCACACGGACAGCACATTCCCAATTCCACAAGATACACAGATCACTATTTTCTGAATTCTGGATTTACATTATAAAAAGTAATACGTCCACTGATTTTCAACCTACTGTCCCTCATGGCCTAAATGAAATTCCTACCCGTTGCCATGGAGTCGACTCCAACTCAGCACAGTTCCTAGGGCTACTAATTGAACTTATCCCATCAGTTACAATCAACTGATGAGATACGAAAGTATATCCTTAAGTGTGTAATCCTCATTAGCCTTTCCTATCTAAAGCTAGGTATGACTACGGTTGACAAAAGCCTCCCAAGTAAACTGGCACAGGTATTTAGCAAAACACAATAAAAATTGCTTATTACAGCAGATTGTTTAACTGTTCAACTTCACTAACAAACTTTGGAATGTCAAGATACCGGCGTGGGCAGGCGGTGTTTAAAAATTATCAGGGATCACTTTTTTACCCAAACATACCCAAGCGATACCCACATTACATCAATCAGTACTCTAACTCACTTCTGAAGTAATCCTCAAGGGGGTAGGTTTATTTTAAATAGCATCAAGGTTGGTAATGAGGGTTAACGAGACAAAGGTCACTCCACCAAAAGCTAGATGGACGAAGTATCCTTAATGCTTATCTATCTCACAAATTATGTGTGGCTGTAGAAGAACTAAACTGGGGATGATTAAAGAGCAGCGTAACTAAAACCTGAAATATATTAAGTCCTTGGGTTAAAAACGTTGGACTTACAGTCAACTCGTACTTAAGAATAGACTGCCATAGTCTATTAAAATTTTTAAATACCATGGTTCCTAGTAACGCACACTTTGACACTCACGAGAACACTGAAGTGTTTTATATGCATACAAAAGTAAAATATATACTATATATTAAGAAAAATGTTTGATGCTAAATGTTTACCAGTTCCGACTTACCTACAAATTAGGAACAGATCGTAACCTGGGAACTGCCTGTACCACCTTCTAGATGTTACTGACAGCTATGCCCACCCCCTAAAAAGTCATCCAAAAGCTCTCCAAATCCTGTTGAGGAGTTACAGTAGTTTGTAACTGGGCAGTTTAGTTCAGTCTGAACTATGACTAAAATATTAAAGCTTATACCCAGTTCGTCACAAACTCAACATACCTCAACCTCAGGGACCCAGAAATCTGAACTTCAGGCTCAAACCTTTTCACTAATTTTAGGAGGGGAAATGGCTTTAAACAGAGTATTATGTTCATCTTTTGAGGGGAATGTCTCAGTATTTGAAGGCTGAGGAGCAGATTATTATTTTCTGCTACAAATTCCATCCACTAAAAAACAAGACACATTACGGTTGTGTACAAAGGGACGTATAGAAACTATATTTTTAAGGTATACCTTTTATATGTCCAACTAATGATAAACCAGGACTTGGACTACAAAAGATCTAAAGACAGCTTACACCCTTCTCACCAGTACAGTAGCATTATATTCTGTTTATTCCAGTTTTGGCTTTTTTGATAAAATGTACTCTTACTGATCTATGATCACGTCTTGTATCTGAGATACCTATACAGGATACCTGAAAAGTTACTAAAAAAGTGTCATTTTTATTTGTACAATTCAACGCATTATTGAAATGATCCTAGGTCAATTTATATTAATGAGCAAAACTTAGAAAATGTCACTCAATTCCCACAATTACATTCTGAATACACAGCATAATCTATCGATGAATGTAAAATCCCCACATGGTAAGGAACACTGTTAGCTGCCTTTCCTACTTTTTCAGAGAAAACTGCTTTTAAGCTTTAATACCATGTTGCTAGTGTTTAAAACATCTAGTTTCATACCCCTTATTTTCAGATAGAATCTATCCTAGGCAAATTTGATTATTTTTATAGATTTAACACTGCTTCCCTTTGTCATTTTAATGCTGATATGACTCACGCTTCATTATAAGATTTCTTCTTGCTGTCTCTGGATATCAGGGCCAAAAACGCTCATCATGACCTTCTAGGTCAGAGCCAGTCCTTCATCAATCCAAATTCTCCTTGATCTCAGCAAAGGCTAGAAGATGTAAGTTAACATGGCGTAACCTCTCGGCAACCAAGACAACCTCCTACATGCTAATTTGAGTTACTATATTCATTTCTGTCTTACAGCATTTTCTCTCCTGATTAACTCCTTTACGCGGTTTTCATACTACTGCACCTGACCATCAACCCAATTTGAGTCAGGATGATGGTTACACACTATCTGCCCAACTTCCTAGCAGCTTCACAGGTGACTTTTCTCTGAGCATTAAAGTCAGCACATTTATTCAGGACTGTATCTGGTTTTTGTTTGTTTGCTTGCTTTGCCAATGAGAAGAGCAGGTATGTGTCAGGGTAAACAACCACCCAAGTTTCTCATTCAAGTTCTTACTCTGCCGGAATCAGCACTATTTTTCTCCCTTTTACTATTTGATGCACCCCTTTATCTAAATTTCTTTAAACTTTTCTAACATTATTTCTTTCTGTACCCACGTAGACAATATTAATTGAGACCTTTCCTCAAAAAATTTTAAACATTTTTCTGGAGAGCATTTCCATTTATCCAGTCTCTCCTCCCAAAGTTTTCCAGGCTGTACATGCATGATAGTCTACCTACATTAGTCACTTGGCCATTACTTTCATTAAAAAGTATGAACTCCTTAACAAGATATTTTAGACTAGAAGGTACAGCAAATGAAAACTTTAGGAAACCTGAAGTTAGTGTCAAAGTTTAGTTTGGTTTTTTCTTCCTGGGTCAGTTTATGCAATCCTAATAATAATGCACAATGACAAAAGCACCCCATGCCAGTGGCTGCTAGCATTAAATTGCTAAAAATGGAGACAAAAACTCTTGAAACACTACCTTATGCTGTTTAAGTATTCCTGTGTTAATTATAGAACTAGCCTTCGCTTCAAAACTTTTCAACTGAACCATCACCCATTGCCATCTAAAACTTAACTCCAGCTTATAGCAAGAAAATTCCTAGGAGTATGAATTCAAGTTAAAAAAAAAAAAAAAAACTGATTTAAAATGGTTAAAACAAAAATCCTAAGCCATCAGAAACATAGCAAACCTAAACTTACCAAAAACAACCTAAAAGCACAAACAGAAACTAAACTGAAGTCAAATTTTAGTTCTACAGTTTGACTCCTGATTCCTCACTTCAGTGAGGGGCCTTTTAGAAGATTTAAGTGTTCTGTGCAAACCCAATAAAATTACAATTAGGGGATCTAATGTTATTACATAGCTACAGTTAAGTTAGCAGTGTTGTGTAGTAGTGAAATCAATGACTGGCTTGCATGATGGCTTCTAAAAGCATCTATTCCCAAAGTTTCATGTATTTATATATATATATATGTATATAATCAGTTGAGGACAGCCATTATTAGCATTTGGTAAAGACGATAAACTGAGTGTTAACTTCTCCCAGCCAGTACCTTTTCCCCTCGTTAAATGTTAAGTCATCTGGGGGGGAGGGGAAGGGAAGAATTCAACTTTACTTCATAATTAAAATCAGTTGTCAGTATACATTTAAGTTTTTAAAACCTAAATGTTCCGAGTACAGAGTAAAGAATAAGCTGTCCAGAATGCACACACTTACATAATTTCTCCTCTTGGGAGTTTTAAAGGGATTTTGAACCTTGATGGCGAGAATCCCAAAACAAGAGTAAAATGAATTCATTTTATTGCAAACAAACGTCTAAATTAATTTCTCCACCCACTTTCTTTAGAAAGAAAAAGAAATCAGCAGGCTAAGGAGATACCCATTCAAGAACTGACATGATTAAAAATTAAGATATAAATGGGTGACTCACAATTTCATTAGCTTACAAAGATGGTGGAGTTAACTACTACAAGCACACTAGTTATACAATATTTTGTGGGAGAAGGGCATACAGACATAGCTAACTTCATATAGATCCCATTAGACAACTGGATTTACAACAAGTTTTTTTAATAAGAAATGGGCAAAGCCAGCTTTCTTTTCAGAATCAAAATGCAGAACAAATGGAAAAATTATGGTATTTAACCTTCACAAGTTTGAGCCTCCACAAGTAATGCAACCAAGTTTTACATTTTTTAACAGCCCCTCTACATACACTCCATCTTCTCTATCTTGGTTCCAAGTTTTATCTTCAGTCCCAATTATGCCAATTCCATTGTTATTTGGAAAAAAAAGTCTTCCCAGTTATCGTCAGTAACTAATTGTTTAGCTTACCCCCTTTCCAAACTACCCACCAAACTACAGAGAGGATGGAGTGTAATATGAGCAGTACAGAGTCTTGTGCAATTCATGAGGACCACTTAGTCCATACATGAATCTGGTTGCTAACATTTCTATTATATTGTGACAATGACTCCCGACTGTTATTCTCTGTGAGAAATGGGGGGAGTAAATTCTTAATAAAAGACACCAGGTACAAAGCAACATTTTACTTTTGTTGTGATAAAAAAAAAAAAGTCACATTTTACAGATAAAATGTAGAACCCTGAAATACTGACACATTCTCTTATCGTGCACAATGCTGAGGTTCTCTTACGATTCACTTTAAAACTGCAATTAAAAATGTACAAAAAAGAAAAGGAAAAAAAAAAAAATCAACCCACAAAGCTTCTAAAAAAGGAACCCGCAGGCACTTCCTCTTGTGGAATGTTTAAAAAGTTAGCCTACTAAAGAAAACAGTCGACTTCTTGTGAAGGTTTTGGAGAAATATGTATCAGTTCGTTTTATTTGGGTATTCAATAATATCCTTGGTGATAATGCTGACTCCATGGCTTCTGACCCCAGAATTGCTGTAAAAGAAAATTTGTTTTTTTTAAAGAAAAAACATCAATAAGCCACTCAAACTGCTTTTAGGAAATGACAATGAATCTAATTCAGAGTAACTGCTGCAAACAAATTTATAACTGTCATACCTCTGATTTCTATCAAACCAGGTTTAGTTAGTATTAATTCCCAACGTTATCAATAAACATATTACAAAAGAAAACACATCATGACTTGGTTAGTTTACGCAATTAAAGCTAGTAGTAACAAAAACCATACATATTAAACATACTTTTTAAAAGTCTTAAAATTACAGCAAACTCCGACCTATTTTGCCTTCAAAAGGTAAGATTATGGCTACAGCTGCGATACAAGTCACACCTTGTCCCATTTAACACTTATGAAACACTTCATTCACTGAACAAGATCAAAATACAACTAATGTACATTAGTACATAAGAAACTACTTACACCCTGCTGCCACTGGTTGTAGCCCTGAGATTGATTTTTGTAGCCACGATTGTTTCCTCGTCCTCTGAAGTTCTACCAAAAAAAAAAAAAAAAAATTCTTGAACTCTGAGGCCAATAGCTTGTTAGGTTTTGGAGGGGGGTACTGCTAGAAACGGAAAAGTTGCTAGTCACTAATTTTAGGGTGATGCAAAAACTGGGGGGCCTGTGCTGGGTTGTTGAATTTCTTATTCTCTATGAGAAATCCACCGGATTTGCTGCTACTCAGTGCACCTGAAAGCAAAATTACGAAGTGGACTCATTTTACCATCATGCTTTTCTTCTGTCAACAGATACACACCACACTCCTTAGAATTCTTACTGTGACTCCACAAACATATGCCTACAGCACTCCAAGCTAAACTATACATTATTGCCCTTAAGAATCTTAAAAAGCATTACCTGGTTGTAGTTCCCTCTGTTGGGCATTCCACCTCTGTTGTAGTTCCCTCTGTTTGAAAAACCACCTCGGCTGGGGAAAACAGGGCCCCGAGGGTATGGATAGCCGATTCCACCACTTCCGCCACCGCCACCACCTCGCTGTGGCATATTGCCCCTCCTATTATAGCCACCACGATTCCCAGGAGCTAAAAACAAGAGATGTTTAGTTTAACAGTGTGTTGTACCTACTTACACAGAAAATTTAGGGTTTTTCTTAGTCAATCATTTCAGGAAAAAAAAATTATTTAAAGACAAAGTAGTGTTAAATTTTAACCATTTCACGTAATTTATGATGCTGATATAACCAAGTCATCAAGTCAGTGTTTACTATCACAAGATTTTAAACAAACTTACCACATAAGAACACTATCAGGATTAACTTCCTGTATTAAATTTAGCTAATTAACATCTAGAGCCAAACAATAAGATTATCATGTTTCCATCTAGAACCAGATAAACAGAATACTCAAAATTAACTTGCCTCCGCCTCTGAAATTTCCACCTCTCATATTGAATCCTCCACGTCCTCTATGGCCACCACCTCTGTTAAACTGGTTCTTGCCACTCTTATTTTTATTGCTCTTCTTTGAGCCAGTATTTTGTTTCTTTTCTGGTGGAAGAGCCTTTTTGCTTTCTTCCTTATATTGTTCCAAAAGTTTTTGGGCTTCCTCTTTCTGAAGTTCAACATAGGTTATTTCATCAAAACACTCAGCTACTTCTGGCAGCGTAAAGTTTCCTAGAGGTAATAAAGGGAGATTATTAATTTTAAAAAAAACCCACCACACACATCTACAATCCTAAAGCTACAATTCTTGAAAACCTTTATTTCTTTCAAAACAGACTACTATGTCTGCTCATGGCTTAACATTTTTTTACCTAATAAAAGCCACACACACTCATATTTAGTTAATGCCATCCCTATCATTTCATGACAAGAAATGATTAAATTCACAGCTATAAAATATAAACCATATAAAGAGATTTAACAACAGCAGAATTAAATTTCATGCCTTTCATTTTGAGAACCGCATGTTCTGGAAGGTCTTTTCCTTCTACTTCTGCTTTCTTCTGTGTTCTTTGCTTATAGTCTTCATCTTTTGGGCAAACTACAACAGCTTTTCGTTGGAAGCCTGCAAACAGGCACATTTTTCTCCTCTGGGCAGCAGCAGACACGTTTGTCTTTTAAAAAAAAAAAAAATCCATTTGACTTAAAAAATCAGCTTGATGTTACATTAAACTGCAAACCTAAAAAAACTATGTTAAATCTTAAAAAAGTGTATGACTTCTGACTTCAATCTTCTTTGTAACTCTAAGCATTAATTCAAAGTTAACAGGTATATAAAAATTGATTCTTAAAATAAACCTACACTAAGTCCAAGTTTTTGAACTTCAAAGCCACAGCCTACCTGATCCAGAATGAAATTTCGCTTCTTACGGGCGGCGATCTCAATAAACTTCCCAAGACACTGTGGGGCTCTCTGCAACAGTGTGTTCAGTTTTCCAGTATCTGCCATTTGCTTCTTAAAACCTGCCACCTATTTCAGAAAGTTAAAAATTTCCTATGAACTTGTGATAGATGAATTACATTAATTATGCTATCCCAAACCAAGCTTTTATTACTAGCTTACACCTACATGGACAACAGGAACAAATCAAAATTTAAATAACTGTATTGCCTTTTCTCACTTTATCATCACTTAACAAGGCTCTACGTTCTTCTCAATTCTTTGTAGCTGCTGCATGTTAAGAATTCAAAAAATCTACTGAAAAGATAATTAAGCCCAGCCATTAGAAGGCAGTTCCTTAGTTATACTCACATAACCAACTCAACTTTGTCCAGACTCCCATTGCAAAGGTATTAACAAGTGGATAAAGACAACAGGCAAAAAGGTTTCTACAATGCCTTCTGGTCCAATTTAAAACACTGAAATAAGGCCCTAATGTTTTACTTACCATCATTTTATCCATAATGGTGTTCGTCCCAAGAATGTTGTATTTACCAGGATTTTCTGCTGCGTGTTTAGTAACCCAGGTAGTTTTTCCGGCTCCTGGCAAGCCAATCATCATTACAACCTAAAAGAACAAGAAATGTTATTCCACTAACTATTAAGGGCCACCTAACAATCATTTAAAGATTTAACATATAATATCTTCAATTTAAATATCTCAATTTTCATACCCTCACACCAAGGGAATTCATATGCTAAATTTAACAATGCACGTAAAAGGAAAAGGCAGTTACTAAAAGACAGTTCTCTGCTGAGACCAACAGGTATGGTGGAAAAAAAATGAGATTAAATCATCCAATTCTTCTAGAAGTACTTTTTGCCAAACAGAGACAATCTACAGATACCACAATTAACAATAACAAAAAACCACCTACTTCACAATCTTTCTTCTCTTCAGGCCCCTTTGGTCCTCTGACTCGATCCTCTAAGGGGACATTCTGGATAAAAGTATAGTCTTCAGGTATTGGGAAATATGGCTTTTCCTTCTGACCAAAATTAAATTCAACTGCACAGTTGTGGCAGAGAACATGCGGGAAGAGTGGTCGTCCAGCAAGAACTTCCTTACTGATCTTGAAGGCAACACCAAGATCTTGTCCATTCTTAGCATAGGAGAGTTCCACTTCATCACTTTCAAAGTTCTGTTAAATAGAAAAGACTGTCAATTTTAATGTTTCCTATAAGTTTTCTACAACTTCGAAATTCAAACTAAAAGAGAGGCTTACCCTGTGGGACATATATTTAGATTAACTGTTAAGAACCTTCTGATACTCATCAACAATGAAATACATCAAATACTATTATTGAGAACCAGAAACAAAATACTGCCCTAGAGGATCAACTAGAATTTTTCAGTCAACAATAGTAATAGTTTTGACTGAAAGTGAGTGATTTCTTCCCTAGAATTCCCTGATTTTTTTCCAGTTGAACTGTCATTTTTTACTATAAGCAAGGTTAGTGCATGTATTTATATTGATAGTATAGAGAGCACATGCTGATAGCATTAAAAAAAAAAAAAAAGCCTAATTCCAATAGCTAATAAGTCATTTATACAAAGACTACAGCTTTAACCACATGTGACTTACAGCAAAACATGTAATCACATCATTTTCATCAAACTTCTCTCCATAATCTTCAGTCTCACAGTTGCATGTTTTTATTCCTTTTAAAGAATACCCGTAAGAAAATTCTTCTTCACCTAGAAAAACAAATTAACTTTCATGAAGTCTGTTTTTCAAAACAGTCCAATTACAGCCAACTATTTTCATCTTTTAAGATGTAGAGCGCAAGAACAATGAGTATATAACCTAATATCCTTTCACTGACTTTTTTACTTATAATCTACCTGTTATCTATTCTCTGAAACTATATAAAGAACTGATGGGAGCTAGGTGGGTATATACACCTAGTTCACAATTCAAACTGCATGCTATTGTTAACAATGTATTTTAACCATTGGTAATAAAATGCAAGCAACCATAAGGGGAAAAAAAATTAATATTTAGCCTGTCTACTAAATGCTAGTATCATTCATCTCCAAAATAGTATCAGACTGGATAAAGACAACAGACAAAAAGGTTAAACTGCCTTCTAGTACAGTTAAAACACTTAAATCGGACCCATTCATAGGCCCATAGTACCCAAATGGAAACTTTACCAAGTAACATTCCACTTGTGGTTAGTGACCAGCCAATCCGAACTTCATGTATGTCAATATCTTTTGTATATAAATGCCTTACTGGGATTTTCTCTGTAACCTGAAAAATCAAATGATAAATTATTCAACTATAAAGCAAGGCAGGCAAGCCCTTGGATCCTGGCTTATTTCTTTTCAGCCAAACAAGGGCTGATACCGCTCTGGCTACCACTACAAAGAAAAGATACCCACTCATCCCTGACTCTTCCACCACTTCTAACTTAAGAACTTCAGATTGAACCCTAAGGGCTTGTAACTTGGAATTTAAAAAGGTGACGTAAATACTTGATCAACTCACACTCAAAAGGAGTTAATACTAAAAAATAAAATGTTCTCAATTATCAACTTAAAGTAGTGTATGTTCAACGTGTTTTTTTTTCCAACAAAAAACCAGAAACCTAACCAAATTTACTTAACCCCTTAGTGACCTGATAAAGAAGCACCCCAAATGAATGTGCTGGCTCTATAGTGAAATTCTACTTACATTTCTAATATAACAAACTTTGACAGTTACAAAACAGAGGCTCCAAGATCCTCTTCTAACTCATAAACACGCCAGAAAGTTCCTTTGACACACAATTGTCAGGCAAATGAGAACTCACGAAAGTTCTTTTAAACATTACAAAATTAGCATTTACCTTCATCTCAAAACAGACTTTGCCTTTTGAAACACCGTAAGATGCCCTTCCTCCAGCCCAGAGAAAAGCAAAACTCTCCATAGTAAGGGAAGAAGCACTGAGGCGATCTCGTGATATTTTAAAATGCAGATCACAATTATCTGTAATTATATCAAATACCACATTATATTCCTTTGACATCAAAGTAAACTTTATCTGCCACACACACAAAACCTCGTTATTAAATTTTTACATTTCTTGCTACTGCATAAAACTGTTTTATATATCATGCTTTTGTTCTAATTTTCAATTCAAACCCCACTCCCTCCAAAGTCACTCTTATTACACCAAATTATGAGCTAAAGCATAAACAGCCTATAAAGCTAATACCAAATTTTAACGTGTTTTAAGCATGTAGTCAAGACAATGTGACATTAATACATACCTGCTCTGCTCTTTACCTTGATACAGAGGCAAGCAGTAGAGGATAGCAGGAAATCAAAGTGAAGCATGCCAGAACCAGGTTGAATTTACCAGTGCCACACAATAAACTAAAGGGAGGCCATGGCCAAATATTTTAAAATAGGATTATGAGCTGTTGAGCTTGTCCTTTGTAACTTAACAACAGCAGTCTAGGCCCCAAACTCTGTTCTAAAACTTGGGAAGGCAGCCTCGATCTACGTAGTGTAACTCTGGTCTAAAGCTGTTAATATTACAGTCCCTTTCTGAAGGCTTGCCTGTTTATCAGTAGGGATGGGATTACCTACTTCCTGGATCATCCAAATCCAAAGCTTCTTTAACTAGCTTTGTGGGTCACTGGCTCATTAGCATGCATCTTCTCAGACTTCACACTTGACAGCTAACACTGAGTTAAAAAGCCTTTTTTTCTTTTCTTTTGACTGGAGAAAAACAATACTACAGTTTGTAATTCTCCTTAACTAACTTTGCTCTTAAAATTCCTTACATCACAGATAGAACCTGCATCATATACAACCTGTTTGAACCTAATACTGCACTTAAATTCTTCTCTCTAATGGATCCGTTGAAGACCTATTTGTAACAGTGGTATTACCTTCTTCTAACGTTATTTCAGTATCTTCAACAACTCCTAGCAATTTTATATCTAAACAATGGAATTTAACCTAAAACTTCCAAATCAAGGAGTAACTTATCCAGGTGTGATGTTTTAAAAAAACTCAATAAATATCTCAGCTATTTATAAACGGTGTTTAATAAGAAATGAAGAGTTTTACGTATACTCTTACAAATTGTAATTCATGACAGCCTACACTTCAATATTCTACGGGGCCATCTTCAATCTACAGGGCAGGTCGACACCTTACCTGCTTGTACCTCGAGCCATTACTTTTACCCCCTATTCTACTTCTCTGAAAAAGCTTTACGTTCTATCAAATACTAAACAAACATAGTTTTTATATTAAAAAAATTACAAGTCTGACAGCCAAGGCCCGTTCAGAGGTTTGCAATACTTCCTCATACTCAATTGCAACCCAACTGGGAAAAGTAGCAGTATTTACAGTGCTGCCATTGATACCATTCGCTGCTGAAGAAACTAGTGGCCCAGTGGTAGCCCACTGCTGCTGCCCCAGGTCTTTGGAAGAAATCAACTTATGTTAAAGCAGCAGCTACTGAACTGGAATTGAGAACAAAGAGCAGTTATTGAAAAAGTATTATTACAATCTTTTGTTAGAATAGGGAATACACTTGTGTGCTAATGGAAAAACTCATAAGTATTTAACTAGTCCAAATAGCTCACTTTACATAATCCTACAAAAAAATGAAATAACTTCATCGTAAAAGCCTATTAGGACAAATTATGGGTAGTCTTACAAGTTTCCATTAGCTAATTAGTCAAAAACGGCATTAATTTTATATTCCTAATGAGAACTTTCAAGTTATATAAAAATTATCAAATCGCTAAAGCCTGTGAAATTATCAATACAACTGATGCTCTACTAAATATTTAGTTACTAGAATCTGAATATAGACCTCATCTTCCTTATCTTTAACAAACTGCTTAATCTTACGAAGTTTTATGCATTCAACATACAACATTGTTTTCTAACAGAACCAAAAATCACCACATCAAATAGTTGCAGGGAGGGAGAAACAGCTTCACTTACAAGTATCAAGACAAACCACTGTATCATCAAAGTGTTCATCTTCTTCTTCAACAGGGGGCTGAGGAGATTTGGCTCTGAAAGAGAGAATTGTCTCCTGATACAGCTTTTCCCATCAACAAATGATAAATGGGTGACAAGTCAAACTGGGTTAGCATCTCTACCTGCTGTATTTGTTCTCTTCAATGTACTCAAAATATCCACGACCATGATCTTCTCGAGGTCTTTTAACACCTCTCTTTTTATCTCCGCCTTTCTGTTCTGTTTTGCCGTCTCCTATAATACACAACACCTTATAAGAGGCCAAGGCGCAGAACAAAAAAACACCTCTTTTCACCTTTTGTTTTGAAGCGCAAAAAAGCCCGACTTTCCTTTTCTTTAAAAAACTAAAACGGCGAACCAACTGTGAATCCAAAGAACAATCGGCCTGCAATAGGATTAGAGCTAGTGACGCAATCTAGAGATTGCTAATTCTCCAGTCTACTTCATGATTCGAGAAAACCAAGTAAAATAGCGCGGCGAAAGGCAAGAGCCCACGTGTAGCCCAAAGAGAGTTCAGGAAGGGGGGAGGGGCCAAGCCTCCGCTCCCGCGGCCCTCCCCTCCCCCACCAGGGCCCGCGCTCCTCGGCTGCATTGTACAGATCTTCCGCCCAACTCGGCCCGCCCGGCTCCTCCCGCCGGAAGTGACGTCACGTCAAGACCCTGCGCTCCTTGCACAATACAGCAGCAAAGAGCCGCCAAAGCGCGCCCGCCCCGGGACCTCGGGCCTCTCCCCTCCCCCCGCCCCGAGACATGTGCCCGCACCGTGCGCACGCAGCGCGGCAGCGCCACCGAGGGCCGACGGGGCTCCCTCCCGCCGCCAGCCTGCGGCTCCTCCCCCCCAGCGGCAGCTGCAGCTCCCGTGTCTCTCGAGCCACATAATGGAGGCGCTGCCGCCACCGTCACACACACACACCAAGCCTGAGGCCTCACGGCTAATCCGGGATTCCCCGCACCCCCTCCCCCACCAGGGCAGCCAGTCGCAGGCTCCGCGCCTCCCCTGGCTCGACGCCCCCGCAGGGCCCCCGCCCGAGGCTCCCTCCCCCTGGCGGGGCTCCGGCAGGCCAGGGGCACGGTCCCCACCCGCGCGGGCCTCCCGCCGCGCGCAACGTACAACGCAGCACTCACCCGCCGCCGGAGCCCCGGGGCGACCGCCGCCTCCGCCGCCTTCCGCCTTCTTCTTACCTCCCGCCTGTTGCTGGCCCTGCCTCGACCCGGGCGGCGCCACCGTCACCGCGAACAGCGAGGTGGGGCCGCTGCTCTTCCCCGCGGCCTCCTTGGCGGCCCCGCGCTGCTGTTGGGGCTGTTGCTGCGGCGTCGCCGGCGGTTGAGGCTGCTGCTCCCCGTGCCCGTTTTCGTCGCCCGCGGCTTCCTCCTCGTCTCCGAGCTCATCCTCCCCTTCCTGGAAACCCTGATCGTCGCCGTTCTCGTCTTCCGAGGCAGCCTCCTCCTCCTCCATCGGGCCCGAGTCGGCCGCCCCCGCGGCCCCGTTCTCCTCCCCTAGCTCCATCTGGTCGCCATCCAGGGCGGCGATCCCTTCCTCCTCCTCTTCCTCCTCCTCCTCCTCTTCGTCGCCGGCGGTGGCGGCCTCTTGCTCGAGGCCTGCTCCGGAGCGCCCGGCGGAATCCCCGCCCAGGTCTAGGCTGCCGTTCCCGGGCTCCACGGCGGGGCGGCCCCCGGCCTCCTCGTCGTCCAGCGCGGCCTGGAGTCGCTCCATGAGTTCGGCCTTGAGGCCCTTGTCGGAAAGGCGCCGCTTCTTGAGCTCCTCTTTCAACTCCGACACCTTCAGCTTTTTTACATTAACAGGCGAGGAACTCATCGTGAGGACCCCGATTCACCGCTAGGTGCTGGCTCAAACTCGGCTCCGCTCACACGGCCACTGGTGGCGGCTGCTGCGGCTGCTTCTCGGCCCGGGCGGCGGCTGCGGCGGCGGCTGCGGCTGGAGGTGGGTTCGTGCTGCAGAGCGGACCCGCCTGATGTCGAACGGCGCCAATTCCTTTCACCGAGTTCGCGAGGGAGACGCGGAGACTCGCCTGGCGCGAGCGAGCACGCAACGTCCTCTCGCAGGGGCGGCGCCGCGCACGTAATATAGCCCCCCCACCCCCCGCTTACGGTAGCGCTGCGCAGTAGGAAAGCCGGAGCGCGCCCGCGCTTTGGCCCAGCCCCATTACCGTACTTAGCTCCCCGCCCCCACTCCGAACCCCGGGCTGTGAGCGCGGCACAGGCCGCGTTATGTGCTTCCAATCGGGACTGAGCAAATGGAGGAAAAGGAAACCGCCTTTCGGTTAAACCGACCTACTGCAAAGCCTATTGGCTTTTCTAGTTCTTTAGTAGCAATTCTCGTTTTGCTTTTTCCCTTTCCAGGCCGGAGGCTGCTTTTATCCAAGTGTTTGCAGTCCTCACCTTGGCATTTTCAACTCAAATCCCCCTTTTCTTCCATCTTAGATTTGCCTTGTTAGGTATTTCAACTGCTATTTGCTTAAAACTCCATCAAATTTTATTTCTATTTTGATTTGTACAACACAAATGGGCAATTGCTATATGGAGAGTTTTTTTTTTTTTCTTCGTCTGATTTTTTGCCTCGCGAATTGAATTTTAAGTTCGAAGGGCGAGGGCAGAGCCTTTCTTTTGTCTCTTCACCAACCCTGGTGCAGGCTTGGGAAATAGAAACTTGATTTAAGAGCGTGATCCTCTGTACTGCAAAACATGCTTTACACGCCTTTCCATGGGAGCTATTGTCGTGGTTTTAATAGCCAAAGAAGTTTAACAAGCCCCGGAATTGCATTTCTAAGTTTTCTCTACCTACCAAAAACACGCATTTTCTACAATATTTATTCTGTCCGATTTAGGACGTGGTCATCAGTTATGAAGTCCCAGTAGCTAACAATGAGGATGAGACCCAACCAGATCATGCACTTTTATTCCTATTCGTGTAAAACTAGTCTTGATCAAATCATGCTGAAGCTATAAAAGCTTATGAAAAATAAAGGGCTAAGATTTTAGTAAAAAAAAAAAAAAAACTTTTTTTACTCTCGAAAAGAAATTTGTTATTCTGTTGTATTTTAGAAGTTTAATTTCCTCTAAAAATTAAAGGTGTTACATGTTTTTGAAGTCTTAGATAGGGGTACCAGAATTTAGATTTGTGATACAGGTGAACATCTAAAACCCCAGAAAGCTGCACAGTGACCAGCCAGTGTTCCAGTATCTGATTAATGAGATCAGTTATACCAACTGTTAGGTGCTCTAGCTGGCATAAAAATGCCTCAATGTTAATTTGAAATTTGGAAGTATAGAAATAGGTAGTTAACTTTCTCCTATAGGCTAGTATGACTTAACTGATTAATACATTTTATTTTAAAAGTTTCTATTTGGCAGGTCTTAAGAAGTATGTACCTCACCATGCATGCATGTCTAAAAATAAAATATTAACATTTGTGAAATGATTTGAGTTGAAATAAATAATGTACAGTACTGGTTATTCTCATTTCAAGTTAACTGACACGGTGGGCATAGCCCCTCAAAAGACTTCCAAATAGTGCCAAAAACTCATTTTAGCCTTTGGTTATAATATCCTCAAATCTTATAAACAAGGTACAAAATGGAATTTGAACCTCTTTGTCATTGTTCAAAAATGGGAAGAGAGCTACAGGTGACTTACACATTCACACACTAGATAGCCCCTTAATGAGTCCGGTAAATACAATTATTCTGATGGTCTTTAAATTTACAACTACCCTTAGATATCATTTGCGTTTTTAGATGTTAGTGACATGAAAACAATTTCCGTTTAACTGGAAAAAACTAAATTACAAAAATAAAGTTTATATATCTAAATATAATCGATTTACAATAGCCATTCTTGGTACATTAAATAAGTTGTAATAATAAACATGAACTATAACTTTAGGTGCACACTAAAAGGTTCCCTGGCTTTATCTCCAAGAGGTTTGTAGACTTTTAGAGCTGGATGGAGCCAGGAGATCATCTTTGCTCTGCTTATTTTACAGGCAAGGAAACTGTGGTCCCCACTGCCACACCAATACTCTTTCATTTCATTGGGCAGCCTTAGACAACATTTGAAAGGATAATTGTTTTTCTGAATGCTCAAAGAACCATCATCTTGCTATTACTTTTTTACAAAAGGAAGAAATCTGCCATGAGATATTTTATTTTTTCACTGAAAGTACGAATAATGACTTAATTTTACTAATTGTTTTTGCTTCTTATGCTTTTAATACTATGATGATAAGCCTGTTCTACAGAGACTAATAAAAGGATAGGGCACTTCTCTAAATTTCTGAGGGACCTATAGGGAACTCAAAATTCCCTCATTTTAAAGTCCCGGAGCCTACCAAGAATACAGAGTGGAAGAGGGCACAAATTAATTCTCAATAGCAAAAAGTGATTAGTAAATTATCCATGGATAATAGTTCTATGAGATGTAATTTCAAAGTTTGGGTGCTCAGCATATATAGCTTACATTTTGAGGTTGAATGAAAGAAATACAGGTTTTCCCCGCTATCCAAAAGTAGAACATTCCTATGAAAACCTTTTGTAAGCCAAAATGGCATAAAATAAAGACACAATTACCATCAGTTTATACGGGAAAAATTTTTGAGCGTTCTCAGACCCAAAAAATAACCTACCAAATCATACCACATACCACATAAAACCTAAAACAACACTAACATATACTAAAAGCAGGAATGATATAAATACACAGTCTATATGAAGTAGAAATAATGTATGTAGAGTGTAGTAAAACATCCAGTTTTATGCTAAGTCTAACACCCTTACATGCTCATTTAGGCTTTTCTGATACTTTAGGACACATCTTGCTAATGGACGCACAAAATCAAAATAAATCGAGATAACACACAGATGCTCATAGACACAGTTTAAAGTTACGACTGCTTGATGCTGAGATGCTGAGTGTAGTTCTGGGGGAAGGCGCTTGGCAATGCCACTCTGACTGCTCTGGGTTTGAACTGCCTCTTTAATGGCTGCTGCAAAACAAACGCTGAACGCTATTGCCACTTTTCACCTTTTTTGGTAAAAGCAAAAATCCTCTTGGGATTTCTTTCGGTTAGTGAAAACAGGTACTAATGGAGGTCTTTCATAAAATCGAAGTGGTGTAAAGCGAACTTTCAAAAAGCAGGGTATACCAGTATACCTAAATGCTATACTTTGTCACAAAATTCATTCAGCAAGTATTTTTTTGAGCATCTTCTCTAATGTAGGCACTAGTCGACTAGGGATGCAGCAGTGAACCATGCAAATACGCCTTCACTCTCTCAGGAAGAGGTAGTCAATAAATAAAATAATAGAGATGGTGACCAAAAAAAAAAAAAACCAAACCTGTTGCCATCAAATCATTTCCGACTCTCAGTGGCCTATAGGACAGCATAGAACTGCCCCATAGTTTCCAAGGAATGCCTGGTGGATTTGAACTGCTGACCTTTTGGTTAGCAGCCATAGCTCTTAACCACCACGGTTTCCATAAGATGGTGACAGTACCCGTTGAAATCCATTGCCATCGAGTTGATTCCGACTCATAGTGAGAGGGGCAGGGCATGCTGAGATGGGGGTGAGTTTTCAGTTATAAATGGGCATGTTAGGGAAATACCTAGAGGAGGTGGAGACAGAGGGAAGATCAAATGCAGAGGCCTGAGGGGAATGATAGAAAGTGTGATCAGGGGTAAGGGGATGGCGTGGTGCTGGGGAGATGCAGATTGCAGGTAGTTTTGTACGGACTTTGTCTTTGGCCTCCAGTGACAGGGAAGACATGGAAGGGTTGTTACCAGAGGAGTGACATGAACAGACGGAAATGCTAAATTAAATAGACTCAGCATGGGCTTTACTAATGATGACACTATTCCATTTGACTCTTTTTAATAGCATACCCAAAACCAAACCAAACTCATTGTCATCGAGTTGATTCTCACTCATAGTGACCCTGTAAGTAAGAGCAGAACTGCCCTATAGGGTTTCCAAGGCTGTTACCTTTACAGGAGCAGATCGCCACATCTTTCTCCCACAGAGCTGTGGGAGGGTTCAAGTCCTTGACCTTTTGATTAGCAGCCAAGCTCTTAACCACTGCGCTACTAGGGCTCCTTTTTGCAAGTCCAGTTTAACTCGGATTGGTAGGTTCGAACCACCAACCTTACCAGCTGACCTTTCATTTAGCAGCTGAGTGCTTTAACCACTGTGCCACCAGGGCTCCTTAATTTAAATGAATGAAAGAAGCAGTTAAATATGCTGAGATGCATTTTCCGATGTAGTTTACAAAAGATATAAGAAGTTAAAAGTACCTCCAAATTATTATATACTAAAAGTACACATTTTTCCTACAACTTAACAAAAAGACAAACAACCCAATTTAAACATAGGCAAAGGACTTGAATAGACATTTCTCTAATGAAGATGTGTTGTTGTTGCTAGGTGCTATCCAGTCAGTTTTGACTCATAGCACCCCATGTACAACAGAAGGAAACACTGCCCGGTCCTGCGCTATCCTCACAGTCATTGTTATGTTTGAGCCCATTGTTGCTGCCACTGTGTCAGTCCATCTCCTTGAGGGTCTTCCTCTTTTTCAGTGACCTCCACTTTACCAAGCGTGATGTCCTTCTCTAGGGACTGATCCTATCCCCCAAAGTATGTGAGAGAAAGTCTCGCCGTCCTCACTTCTAAGGAGCATTTTGGCTGTACTTCTTCCAAAACAGATATGTTTGTTCTTCTGGTATATTTAATATTCTTTGCTAACACCATAATTCAAAGGCATCAATTCTTCAGTCTTCCATATTCGTTGTCCAGCTTTCATATGTATATGAAGCTATTGAAAATACTATGGCTTGGGTTAGGCACACCTTAGTCCTCAAAGTGACATCTTTGCTTTTTAACACTTTAAAGAGGTCTTTTGCAGCAGATTTTTGCCCAACGCAACTCGTCGTTTGATTTCTTGACTCCTGCTTCCATGGGTGTTGATTGTGGATCCAA